CTACTTACCAGCATGGAGTCTGGGTCCAGCTCCCTGTGGCAGTGAGCGGGGACTGCCCGAATCGCTGAAGTGCTCTGAATCTTTTCTGAATCGACAGGTTGTGGAAGCCAGGTGTGCCGCCTCAGAAAGTTCCCAAAGATGCCACAACCCCATTTTGGAACAACAACAAAAATCAGCACTTGCCATGGAGCAGGAGTTCTGGTTCATTTCTGGCCAGAGTCCTTGTCAGCTCTCTCCTTGATTCTTAACATGTCTTAATCGTTTGCTTACTGAGGGAGAAATTTGTCCTAGTATTTCCATATCGTGTGGTGATCACGTGCTTGCATGTTACTTATAACCAGACTTTAACGCTTTTTTGAGTTTATGCTTGCGGTTGCAAAGGGTGTCAACCAAACTTGTCAGTCTGTATTATAATAAGTTCCATTATTTCTTCAGACAGGAGAAAGTGGAAGGCAGTCTCACTTGCCTACTTCCCAGACTTTCCTTGGCATGTGATACTGGTGTAGTGTTTGGCATAGATGAAAGGGGAACTCCAAGGTACTTACATGACTGTAGCTAGCCCTGGGGAGATGTAGCTGAAACAACTAAAAATTGAATATGTTGAAAATGTATGAATGAGGAGGTTTAAAATCTGAAAAAACAGCTAGAAAGGGTGCTTAAAGGGAAGGAGCAGCATATTGTCCTGTGAGACAGTGTCTGATTGTGCAGGCTATACTTACCTTGTTGACCAATATGCAATTATCCCGAACTTTGTGAAGTTTGGGAGCATTTCCTTTGACTTCAAGGGACACTATGTCACCAGGAGTTTTACCGTTACAAGTGTAGCATCATGGAAATTGGTAGTATAATACTGTTTAAGATTTTAGTAGCCATGCAGACCAGCAAACAATTAAGGAAGTTATTTGGGTAATGTACATCAGTAAATATTTGTGCAATACTGAATACCTTTTTGGTGAGCTTAAACACAAAAAGGAAGCTTACGAGGAGTGGAAGCTTGGACAAACAACTTGGGCGGAGTATAAGAATATTGCTCAGGCATGAAGGGATGAAGTCATGAAGGCCAAAGTCCAATTGGAGTTGCAGCTAGCAAGGGATG